GGCTACTTGCATCGACAGTGATAACACCAGACCTATGATCTACTGTGAATCCGATCCTTACAGTGGATGCAACACCATCCAGAACAAGTTAAAGTCATCCACCGGGCAGGTGAACCACCACGTAACAGAACCATCATCTTATCTGGATTTGGGCATTACTGTACCTAGGCACTGATGAAAGATGAAAAGGAGAGATAGAGCTGGGTGTCATCTGTGTCTACTGACGACACCAGTGTTAAATTTGTGGATAACTTCTCTAAGAAATTTAATGTAGATATTAAACAGTATGGGAGATAATGTAAGAACCCTGTGGGACGCCATAACATACTTGCCAAGGAGCAGAGCAATAACCCCCTCAATGTCACCAGGGTCTCAACCATCCAAGCAGGAGTGGAGCCACCGCAATGCAATTCTTCCAACTCAAAATAGTCTAACCAGAAGGATGCCAACGTTGAAAGCTGCCTAGAGGTCCAAAGGAATCAACAGTTATATTCCTCTTGCTCCTTACTACTACCACATATTTCATCCCACAGGACAACCCTTCTAAAACTGGGCCTAAAGCCCACATGTAATTTTATATTTTCGAGCTGGAACTCGATAGTATTGCAGATCCTTTCCTCTGAGAGGTGCCTTGTGAGAAAGGCCTGGTGTTTGTTCACGTCTGCTCTGTTGCAAGAGCAAGCTGTAGCCTGTTTCACTCCTAGACTTGTCACAGCTACTCCAGAAGAAAAAGCTGCTCAGCACTAAGCATTAACCCTTCTGAATACTTTGAAGGTAACTGTGAAGTGTTAGGTTTGCTTCCCCTTTCTTCACCCTTACTGTTTTGCAGAGTTGTACGCTTGCAAATTTTAACAAGGAGTGCTTTCCCTTTTCTAACAATATTGTAGTTTAATTTTATCTGATTTTATTGCTCCTTTTTATTGTTCCTCCTTTTTTCTGCTGCTATTATTACTGCATTTAGAAGTTTCTGAGCCTGTAATTTTTACTATCCAGGTATTTATGGAATTTTATGTTGCTAACTGTATATTACGATTCTCCTGATTATTGGTTTTTAATGTTATTATTTAGTGTGAAACTAAATTGACCTAAGTGTTGTTCATTGCCTCAAGCACCTTGGAAAACAGAGCTAAAACTAAAATATTATCAATAAAAATTTACTGAAGCCCCCACTGCACTTTTTAAGAATTATTGTTTGTGCCATTATGACAGTCAAAAAACTCATACAGCAAGGCAACCACACAGATGGCTAGCCATCATTTGAAGAATTTGGCCACATTTATCATTCTTCACTTACTAGATTTCCAACCAATCAATCAAGATTAACCAATAAGATTGTTCACAAATCAGAAAGCTGCTAAAACTGAGTATGACTGCTAAATATTTTCCCATGTCAAAGTACTCTTTAATAGGTACAACTAATTTTAGTATTATTCCTTTGGTTCAGGAAGCAAACATAACTTAAGGTTTTTTCCCCAGGAAACCTGCATGGAACAAGAGCTGGGTGGGAGTGGGTTGCCGATGTCTGACTTTACTGCTGTAACTTAACTTCCTGTTGGTCTGGATATAGCTTGCCATTGTCCAGCTATATTATGTCATTTTTAAGTTAGCCTCCAGAATTCCATTGTTCCACCACCCTTTTCCTTCCTATAAACACATAGAAAATTCAATGGTTAAGTCACTCAAACTCGTCTTGCCACTTGCACTCTGAACATAACTTTTGTATCACAATTCATAACTACATATTAGTTATTAGAAGCAGCATGTCTTGGTTTTAAAAAGGTATCAAGTGTCCCCATCAAGAAATAAGTTCTGGGATTGGTATGCATTATACAAATTTAAGATGGAATGTATTTGCTTACACTGCATATTTTGCTTCCAAAGATCATTATAGGAAGATGCCATCACAACTGCAGTTCCAGTCCTTAATACAAAGGCAGTTTCTTGTTAAAGTAAACAAGTCACATTCAAAGGAATTGCCAGGGAAGTAGGGGAGAAGCGTTAGATTTCTCCAAGAGTTGCCCAGATCCTCTAGTTGAGATCTGAATCCCTTCTTTCATACTGGAGTACAAACTACTTCAATCTAGTCCAAAGATGCTTTGCCATATTAGTAAAATATACACAAATGTTAAAGTCTACCCCCCCCCAAGATTATATGCCAAGAAGTGGAAGTGTATACAGTATATAACTCCACAAAATGGTCAGATCACTCTGGAAAAGTTGTGCTTGTTCCCATTATTAATGGAGAGCTGATGCTCATCTGGGGCCATGTTATACTATATGGTTGTATACTGTATAAAAATTATCCAACTGCTCTCAATGCATCACTTACTAGAAGACCATGTGAGAAGTGTGAACGCTAACTTTGAGGCTGGATTGCAGCTCTCTCTACAAGATAGTTTTTGGAAGAAAGAAGAACAGATGACCATAAACTGGACGTTTGAAAGACAAGCAGCAACACTATGCAGCCTGTGTGCAATGAGAGCAGCTGCCATTTAGCTTTTCTAAACAGCCCCAGTATTGGAAAAGGTACTGTTTCAACCTATCAGACGCAGCAAAAAATCTCCATGAAGACGACGAAAAACAATGGCTGATACTAAGAAAGACAGCAAGAAAAGCTTTCAAAACACAGCTATCTACTACCAGTTCTGGAATTATAGGGGAGAAGGCCAGGGACCCTACATAATAAACCCACAATGGTTTTAATGAAGTAAACAAACATCATATATTTAAGTAAGTACCGTAAGTGGGGATGGCACTCCTGTAATTGGGACCTGCTACCAGAAGGAAACACAACAAGAACAAGGACTTCAAGACCAACCCACCAGGTCATCTCTTCTTCTGCAGGCACTTTTATTATCAATCTTTTCCATTGTTCCTCTTCAGCAACTACTGCCTATCTTCTAAGGGAAACAGAAGGGTTATCCACACCCATTTCCCCCCAAGTAGCAATGACTACTTTCCCATTAAACTCAGCAGTGAAGTACTCCACTTCTGAGCTATTCTGCATTCCCACTTCTCACTTGGAATTAAGCTACTCCTTCTCAGCTTTGCATTTAGACTCCAAGTCTTCAAGTAGGCACAAACAGTGCTCCTATCTGTACACCTTGAACCTGGATTCATCCCTTAAGTGGAACAGAATATTGGGAACTTGATGGTGCAAAAGCAAAATGAAGACCTAGAACTGCTGTCTCAATCCAGCCAAGAGCACATGAGATGACTGGATTACAAGCCTGATGAGAAGTTAGCCATTCTGGTTAATGGACGAATTGGAAAGTAATAAACATAAATAATTTCTCTTTAATCTTCCCCACCTCTAAGGTTCAAAGTACAGGCGGAAATATTCACATCCTCCTTCAGTGATACACTACAAGCTAAAGGAGTGTTCATCACATTATTACTCTTCTGACATACTGTTTAATCTTGTTTCCAGACAGAGATATCTCTGAATGACAAACAGACCCATAAATCACACACAGGCAGCATCAGTTTCTGTGCTGATCACTGCCAGTCCAGGAGGCAGGCCAGGGACTAGCAATTGCAGCATAGTCCAAAACTGGTGTAAATGAACCATATTTTGGGTTTGAGCTTTGAGGGTAGGGGAAGGAAATCCATTGGGAGTATAGAATGTTAAAAGGGGAGGGGGAGGCTGAAAAGGGCATAAGATGACAATTGGGTGGTAGTGGGAACCTTGGCCAGATGACAGGAGAGAGATTAGCCAGTTAGGAATAGGTTTGGCAGATTACTAGTTCTAATTACATTCACCCTAGATTTCAGTTTACTGTGAATTTGCTTTCATTGTTACTCAAATAAACATTGTGCTGTTAACCCTTTGTGACCAGTGTCAGAAACCCAGTTGTATAAACTAGGTGTGAAATGGCTCCTTAATCCAAGGTTGCAGTTGCCAAAACGAAATGTCTTGTTGCCATTTTGGAGCAAGATGGGTCTAAAGCCTTATTTTTCAAAGGATGGACAGGCTGTGATTGATTATCAGTTACACATCTTGCTAGCTCAGATGACAACCTTGAGCTAGGTTAAGAACTTTGAGAACTTAAAGAAGAAAAGTCACTTGATCCAGGAACAATCCACACATATATTGGTCTATTCCTACCTCTTTTTCTTAATGGTGACACAGACCATTCATAATGTAGGAATATTCTTCAAAACTGTGAGCAGGGCAGTGGGGTGGGGTAACTGAAGACAAGCTACAACCATTAACTACAACATTGTTCACTGCTCCTACTCAGGCTGCACAGAAAAAAGCATTTTGCTTCCTGAAATTCATTCTGATTGTGCAGATAAAATATAGCGGTTAATATTCTACAGGATGTGATGTGTGAAAACAGTCCAGATCCAATGATCCCCTGGCATGTCAGGCGCCATCCTGGCATCTTCACTTCGTCGCAAGTGACCAATAGTCAGGTGCAAAATGTGCTCCGCTAATTTCAAACACTGGGCGCAAGAACTATGCTATCACAGGCACGTGAAACCTTTGTGCCCCCTTCCTTGCACGATGGGTTAATCCGGCTACTAGCCAGAAGGCTGGTGATCAGATTGACCCTGAGGTCCCTTCCAATTTAAAATTTTGCATCCTTAGGGCTGATGGGAGTTGTAGTCCCAACACATCTGGAGTTGGGGAAAGGCTCTAGGCTAGGGCAGTGTTTCCCAACCTTGGGCCTCCAGCTGTTTTTGGACTACAACTCCCATCATCCCTAGCTAGCAAGACCAGTGGTCAGGGATGATGGGAATTGTAGTTCAAAAACAGCTGGAGGCCCAAGGTTGGGAAACACTGCTCTAGGGATCTCACCCAGCGGGGATTTGGAAATAACAGCCTTGCTGATCAAAGCTGGACCTACTTCCGAGTAAGGGTCATTCTGAAGGCTCCAGGGGCAACACGGAGAAGCCACGGAACGAAAGAGGCTTCACTCCGGGGGAAGCGGCACTTCCACGCCCCCCCCAAACTTCTCAGCCCCCCCGGGGGTCCTCGCCCCCCCCCCACTCACCATCCGGGAACTCGCGGTCGCTGATGTGCTGCAGGTGGGGGCCGCCCCCGCCGGGATCCGAGTCCCCCGACTCGGCCTCAGTGACCTCCCGGTAGTTGCCCGCCCTCCGCTCGAGCCCCACGGCCGCCGCCACTCCGCTCCCGCCGCCGCCCCTCCGGCGGAGGCCGCCCTCAGCGCCGAGCCGCGGACCCGGCCGAGCTTGGGGCTGGCGCCGGGAGAGACGCAGCAGGTGACGGTGTTCCCCATGGCCGAGCGGGAGAGCAGCCGCCGCCGCCGCCGCCTGGGCTGGGCCCGAGCCCGGCTATAGAAGGCCTCGGCGACGCCAGCAGCAGCAGCGTCGCCTCATTGTCACGCCGCCGCCGCCGCCGTTGCCGCCTCGCCCGCCACCAAGCCGCTCCCGCCGCCGCCCCCTCAGCAGCGGCAGCCGGAAGACCCGGGAAGAAGCCGCTTTCCCAACGGTCTCCGCGGCGGAGGAGGAGGAGGGAGCGGCGGCGGAGGCGCCCTTGCGCACGCGCCAGCCAACCGCCGGCCGCGCGCCACGCCCCCACGTGACAAACCCCACCGCCGCCTCGCCCCGCCCGCGCGCCTGCGACGCAGCACCTGAAGGCTAAAGGGGGGCGGGGGGACGAGGGGCCGGGCGGCAGGAACCGGACCACGTGATGGGGGCGGGGTCGAGAAGCGGATATGCGCGAGCGCACATAAATATACTGTATGCACAGGCACATATATGAACACACATCTAGATGCACATGCACACACACAAAAATATATATGCACGCACACATATTTATGCACATACATACATAGGCACACGCATACACACACACACACACACACACACACACACACATATAAGTATTGCTTCTTGGGAGAAAAACAATGACAAACCTAGACAGTATCTTAAAAAGTAGAGACACCACCTTGCCAACAAAGGTCCGTATAGTTAAAGCTACGGTGATGTACGGAAGTGAGAGATGGACCATAAAGAAGGCTGATCGCCGAAGAATTGATGCTTTTGAATTATGGTGCTGGAGGAGACTCTTGAGAGTCCCATGGACTGCAAGAAGATCAAACTGATCCATTCTGAAGGAAATCCGCCCTGAGTGCTCACTGGAAGGACAGATCCTGAAGCTGGGGCTCCAATACTTTGGCCACCTCATGAGAAGAGAAGACTCCCTGGAAAAGACCCTGATGTTGGGAAAGATGGAGGGCACAAGGAGAAGGGGACGACAGAGGACGAGATGGTGGGACAGTGTTCTCGAAGCTACCAGCATGAGTTTGATCAAACTGCGGGAGGCAGTGGAAGACAGGAGTGCCTGGCGTGCTCTGGTCCATGGGGTCACGAAGAGTCGGACACAACTAAACAACAACAACTATATATATATATATATATATATGCGCGCACACACACACACACACAAAAAAAAAACACCATATACACACACACACACACACACACAAATATGTATATAAATAATACACAGACACACACACACACACACACGACTCCAACCACCTACCTCCGGTTCTTCCCGTGCTCAGGGAGGCAGGTCTGTGTGCTGAGAACCCTTTTCCAATTTCGTATCAAGCGGGAAAGCTAGTCTAAACTATTTAGACTCAGAATTCAGTTGAGGCTTACACTGCTCTAAACGTTTCTATCTCAGTGATTTTCTCCGGTTTGTTTGTTTTTTAAAAGAAACCCGCCTCTATTTGCATAGCCCCGCCCTGATGCCTAAGCCCCGCCCTCCCAGCCCTGACATTCTTTCCCTTGTGACTTTGGCTTCAGTCCTCCACGGAGGAGGCGGGTGGGGCTCGTGGTGGCAGCCGTGTTGTCTGGCTCAGGACTAATTTGCTCTTTAATATTCACCTGTGGAATGCGAAATTTCCCAGGCGAAGATCACAGGTCCTTCATAAGCATCAGCACCAACCAGAACTCACTAAATGGAGGAGGGGAGGAATTCCAGTGAGCTTTGAGGAAGTGAGCCCCTGATGGGCATGAATTATGTTGTTGTTGTTTAGTCATTTAGTCGTGTCCGACTCTTCATGATGCCATGGACCAGAGCACGCCAGGCACTTCTGTCTTCCATTGCCTCCCACAGTTTGGTCAGACTCATGTTTGTAGCTTGGAGAACACTGTCCAACCATCTCGTCCTCTGTCATCCCCTTCTCCTTGTGCCCTCAACATTTCCCAACATCAGGGTCTTTTCCAAGGAGTCTTCTCTTCTCATGAGGTGGCCAAAGTATTGGAGCCTCAGCTTCAGGATCTGTCCTTCCAGTGAGCACTCAGGGCTGATTTCCTTCAGAATGGAGAGGTTTGATCTTCTTGCAGTCCATGGGACTCTCAAGAGTCTCCTCCAGCACCATAATTCAAAAGCATCAATTCTTCAGTGATTAGCCTTCTTTATGGCCCAGCTCTCACTTCCATATGTCACTACTGGGAAAACCATAGCTTTAACTATATGGACCTTTGTTGGCAAGGTGATGTCTCTTTTTATGATGCTGTCAAGGTTTGTCATTGCTTTTCTCCCAAGAAGCAGGCGTCTTTTAATTTCGTGGCTGCTGTCACCATCTGCAGAGATCACGGAGCCCAAGAATTATAGGCATCATTGATTCATACTGTAGAGTTAGAAGGGTCCCCAAGGGTCATCTAGTCCAGTGTTTCCCAACCTTGTGCCTCCAGCTGTTTTTGAACTACAACTCCCATCATCCCTGACTAGCAAGACCAGTGGCAAGGGATGATGGGAATTGTAGTCCAAAAACAGCTGGAGGCACAAGGTTGGGAAACACTGATCTAGTCCAACCCCCTACAATGAAGGAATCTCAGAAGCAGCATCAATGACAAATGGTTATCCAACTTCTGCTTCGAAACCTCCAAGGAAGGAGATCGTCCACCACCTCTCCACTATGGAGCGGTTCTTACCATCCTAACGTTCTTATTGATGTCTAGTCAGAATCTCCCTTCTGGTAACTTGAGGCCATGGGTTCGAGTCCTGCCCTCTGGAGCGGGAGGAAAAAACCCAAGCTTGCACCATCCTCCATGAGGCAGCCCTTGGGATATTTGAAGATCTGAAGTTGTGTGGAGGGAGGAACTGCAGCTTTGAGGAGAATGTTTAGTGCAGAGAGAGTACCACAAAATGAAGGGAGGAGACCAACAGTACAGTGGTACCTCGGGTTAAGTACTTAATTCGTTCCGGAGGTCCGTACTTAACCTGAAACTGTTCTTAACCTGAAGCACCACTTTAGCTAATGGGGCCTTCTGCTGCTGCCGCGCCGCCGGAGCACGATTTCTGTTCTCATCCTGAATCAAAGTTCTTAACATGAAGCGCTATTTCTGGGTTAGCGGAGTCTGTAACCTGAAGCGTATGTAACCTGAAGCGTATGTAACCCGAGGTACCACTGTACCTCCAATTCAGCAAGAGGCATTTGTAGAGGAAACATTGGGGGGCACGTGCGTGGATCTGACCTCCAAGAACATTCAAGCGATGCTGTACTTAGAGGCAGGCATCCCTGTGCCTTGTCTGACACGCCCTAGGCACCCTTTCCCCACGTTGGACCTGAGCGCAACTGCAGGAACGCGCCGGGCATCCTATGCTACTTGCGCGCAGAGAGACTGCAGAGCTCAAAAAGTTACGAGATCTTTGCAAAGAGGGTGCTTTGGGGAACCTCCCCTGCTTCTACTTCGCAGCCAATGCAGTTCTTCTTTAATTGCATAATTGCAAAACTGATTATTACAAAGGAAAAAAAAAACCAGGGCGCGATTGCTCCTGCTGCAAAGAGGCAACCAGTAAGTACAGTAAATGAGAATAATTGGCGCCTTTGCTTTTTAAAAAAGCGGAGAAGACATTGTAACCGGTAGTTAAAGCTCTGTGTGTAACTCTTCCGGTTTCAGTCCATGCAGAATCAGAATACTGTAAACGAATTGTAGAGCAGGAAGGGACAGAATGATGACTCCATTAAAAAAAAGAAAGAAAAGAAATCGTAACCGGAAGTTAAGGCCGAGTGCATACCTCTACACGTTTTTCCTTCTATGCCTGTAGTCCGGCCGTGCTGGCTGCTGTGCGCATGCCCGGTGCTCCCGCGCCGCCGAAAGTTGGTTCCCGGGACAAGTGGAAGGTCTCCGTCGACCCCGCGTCACGTGAGCAAAGGAGGGTCAGTGGGGGGAGGAGATTTGGGTACCCTAGCAACAAGGAGGGAGGGAGGCCAGGTACCCCTCTCCTGAAGGTTAACCAATATATTATTATTATTATTATTATTATTATTATTATTATTATTATTATTAAATAATAAACCAAGGGTAGGGCGAGCATAGAAAATGAACGTCTGCGGGAAAACGAGCTAGACGTTTTTGTTCTTCAATTCCAAATAATATAATTTTTATTCAGAATAACAGACATGCTGTTAGCAAAGCACAGACACGCTTCGTCTAATGGCAAAGTTAAATCACCAAGCCAAAAAAAGATGCATGAGCTACAGAGAATCTATTATCTTTATTTTTATTAAGCCTGCCCGTTTCCTTGGCAGGGCAGCTTACAGATAAAAATAAGAACAGCTAAAAACGGGGAGGGGGGGGTGAGCAGAAACAACCAAGAAACAATGAAACATGGATAGAATTAAAAATATATCTCTCTCTCTCATATGTAAGATCTGTTAAAACCGCACAAATAATTGCAATGCAAACAGCACAGCATCTGCCATTTCATTAAATAGGCTAAGGTTTCTCTGGACTACAGTTAATAAGAGAAATACACAAAAAGCCTTTTTCATTGGATCACACACAACACACAGCTCAGTTGGTTAGAGTGTGGTGCCGATAATGCCACAAGGTTGCAGGTTCGATCCCCACATGGGACAGATGCATATTCCTGCATTTCAGGGGGTTGGACTAGATGATCCTCAGGGTCCCTTCTCTACAGTTCTATCTATCTATCTATCTATCTATCTATCTATCTATCTATCTATCTATCTATCTATCCAACCTCCAGTGGGAAAGGAAAACATGAGGTATGTGCCCATCTCCATCCCATCAATGTGTAAAAGAACCAGGTAAGGTGGCACACTGCCTGCCTCCAGGGCCCCCGCATCTGTGAAAATTGATTTTTTGACAGCCCACCTCACAGGTTTGTTGTGTGCAAATATAGACGACTCCCCACTTATAGGGAGAAGTTACGTTCCGGGCCCCCATGTGCATGCGTAAAATCGCACAATAATAATTGGGGGACTGCTGTCCTGCCGTATAGGATTTGGTTTGCGGGGTGCCAAAGGATACTAGCCCGTCTCTCATCCTTTTAAACATGCACATGCAATTATTTATTAAGAGTTATATACCGCTCTTCAGCGCAGGAGCTCACAAGATACATGAAACTGCTGTCTGAGATCATGAGTGCTGAGGACATACTGCTCTCCCTTTCTTTCTCACTTTCTCCTCCCTGTGAGGTGATGGAAACTCTAAACCAGTGCCTAGTGTCAGTTCAGGAATGGTTGGTGGCAAATACT